ATTAGATGAAGTAGTAGTATAAGTTAATTTTGTATTGTAATTAATTATAAGGATTAGTAATTAGTTTAGTATTTAATTTTGATATTGTTATTAGTATTAGCATTTGTTAATAAAAAAGTATAGGATAAACATATAATTATTATTTTTATTAGATAAATTAGTAGAATAAGTAAATTTTAGGGTAGTTAATTTTTGTAATTAAAAATTAGGATATAATAATTATATTTATATTGTTGTGATTATTAGTATTTATTAATAAATAAATTATAGGATAAGAGACATTGTTAATGTTAATTATAATAGTTAGTTTAATATTATTTAGGGATTGTTAATTATCGTAATTAGTAATTAGGTTTTGTATTTATATTTATTATTTTATTAATTAGTACCATTTGTTAATAAAAAATTATAGGATAAAAATTTAATTATTTTTTTATTATATAAATTAGTAGAATAAGTAAATTTCCACACCAAAAAAAAAAGAATAAGTAAATTTTACGGTTTAAAATTTTTGTAATTAGTAATTTGGGTAGTATTTTTTTAATATTGTTGTGATTATTAGCATGTCGTGATAAAGAAATTATAGGCTAAGAGACATTGTTAATGTTAATTACAATAATTAATTTAATATTATTTAAGGATTGTTAATTATCGTAATTTGTAATTAGGTTTTGTATTTATATTTAATATTTTTTTATTAGTAGCGTTAATAAAAAATTATAGAATAAAAATGTAATTTTTTTATTATAGGGGGTGCTGACACGTGTCGTGAAAGTACGCACCAAACCAGCTAGGCAGCCCAGCGCGATTAAGGGGGTGATGACACGTGTCTGAAAGTACAACAAATCTAGCTTGGTTGACTAGCTCGAATAGTGAGAGGGTGACACGTGGCCTGCTTTTCAGAAAGTACAACAAATATAGCTGGGCTGGCCCGCGCGAATGGTGGGAGGGTGACACGTGTCTTGCTTTTCAAAGTGTGCAGACTGGTTGATTGACAAGCCATTCTAGCTTGTCATACCAGCGGGAATGGATCACCATGGCTGACCGCCACGTGTCATCTGACAATATCGCTGGTTGGTATAGCAGGATTGAAACGTGGCATTTTGAAAAATTCAAAATGTAAGATGACATACTGGTAAAATATTAGTCAAAAGATGTTACTTTGGTCAAAGTCCCACAATAGAGTGCCACACTGCCACCTACCAGCACCAATCTAGTTTTCCATTTCAAGAGTGCTACGTGGCATGCATAATTTTAATCGTCTGTCCCCAATTTTATATCATAAATAATGTAATTATTATTATTTTGAAAATCAAAATTGAATTAATTTAGTCAAATAATAATTAATAAGTAATTTCTATTAATATGGTATTTTTTTAAAAATTATAAATTTAAAAAATATCAACTTTATTGTTGTCTATGACAATTTGATAAATATGATATGATAAATTTACGTTTAGTCACTTTCAGCAATTTAGCGCTATCTTGTCTTTAACCGTCGAGTTGAATATTAAAAAAGAATGTGTAATGGTTATCACCTTTTTTGACTGACAAATAGTTGAATAACTGAAGCTATAATGGAGCAGAGAGACAACAGCGAGAAAGGAAATGTTTCTCAGTTGACTACCTTTAAGGAGGAGAAGGGACTCAAAACCAAGCCGAAGCAAACAGCAACAGCTGTTTGATGTTGTGCCAATTTGACAGTATTTTCTGATGTGCTGATCTCACAACCTTTGACCCAATATATATATATATATGGTTCGTCCTTTCTTCTTTCGCTGCTGATGAGAAAAGTTGCAGCAAATTATTAACACTAAGATACGAGATCGTCTCCTGGCCTAAAAAAAAAACACATCAGGATCTGGACACGTATCCTGATGAAAATAAGTCACTACAAGAAAAGGTGTATTTCGCGACTGAATTTCAACGACGGTTGACTGTAAACTGTCGCAAAATATGATATCACGACTGTTAGTACGACGCCCTAACCAACGGTCGTTAAATATAACAATTCTACGACGGATATCAACGACGGTTTGTAACCGCCTCCAAATATATCATTTCGGCTAAATGTGAAAAAAAATTAAACATAATGACAGCCAACAGGATTTGAACACATTACACCTTGGACAAATTAAATGACAACAACCACTATGTCATTGAATTCTTCGTGCTATTTTGTTATTATTATTAAGATATATATGTGTATAGGATTCTTTGATATCGGTGTCAAACTTTAAAATTTAACACCAAATTATAACAGTTGACTTCCACCAATGAACGATTATCATTTATTAGGAATTGATTTTTAATTAATGAATTGGATTCATAATTAATGATAATCGTTGATTGACGAAAATCAATAGTTAGGATTTAGTGTCTAATTTTAAAGTTTGAAACCAGTGTCACATGATTCTACCCCATATATATTACATACTTTTACGTGTTATTTAAATCAAGCTTTTCAACTAGTGACACTTCCAATTGGACTAGTGAACCACTTATCTACTACCGAAACCGAGTCAATAATAAGTCGCATTTTCATAAAATTGGTTCAACCATATAATTTTGTTGAGTATCTCTTCTCTGAAATCTCCTTGCTATAATTTAGACTTAAAGCACCGAAATTGAATGATGGTTACATAATTTCTATACATACCCTAATATGGAGGCCGGTACAATTGGAATAATGAAAAGTTATATTAATAGAGTATAATTTGGAGATCAAACTGAATATTTAATAACATAGTAATTTTGATTGGAAAGTCAATCAAATTTATTTCGTACCATTCGCTTAATGAGAAAATGTGTATTAAGTGAGAGAAAAAAATAGGTCATGAGAAAGAGAGAATGGACAAAAATAAAATAAAATAAAAGTATGGGTCCATCTTTTTGTGAAAGTGAAATGAGCACAACTTGTGTCAATTTGAAACGACAAATATTTATGTACAAAAAAAGGACAAATATTTATTTCGTAAAATAAATTATGGTTAATATTTAAAATAAATGAATTACTGTAAAAATCCTAATTTATTTTTAATTTTAATAATCCCTCCTAAATATTTGAAGATGTCACGTTTTAGCAAAGCATAAAATGTAAGTGTATTGACCTAACTTAATTGTAAGGTTGTTATTTGAATTAGTTTTCAAATTTAATATCAACGTGGGAAGTTAACGTGGTTTTAATTGGTTTTCAAATGTTATTTAAAGATCAGTTATTCTTGCGTGATATCAAGGTTCATCCATCCTTGAAGCTTTTGAGTAAGGATGAAAGCATGCGTTTTATCTTATGTGTTTGGGAAATAGTTCCAATGATTTTGGGAAACCAATAATCTGAAGATGCAATTTCCAAATAAACTTTTTATGTGTAGCATTGATGACGACGACCACAAGAGACGTTAAGATTCTTTTATCTGTTTGACTTAGTTGGTGTTTCAATATTTAAATTAAAAAAATATAATTTTTAGTATACTTCATAAATAAAAGGTATCTTAATGAATAATGTAAATAAAATAAACGATGTTATCAAAAAAAAAAAAAAACGAAAAAATGTGTATCATTTTAAGCGAGAGAAAAAAAAGTAATGGAAGTGATAGAGAATGGACAAAAAAATAAAGGTATGAGTTCCACCTTCTTATGAGAGTTAAATGAACACAACTTGTGCCAATTAAAATTAAAAATATTTTTCTATAAAATAAATTATAATTAATATTTTAAATAAATGAATTACTGAAAAAACCCATTTAATTTTTAATTTTAATAATCCCTCCCAAATAGTTCTTCAATCCCACTATATTTTCAAACCCAAAAGCCCAAATTTTCTCATTCCCTCTGACCTTTTTTCCCTTTCCCACATTTTCTTTTAACCCTCCCTCCTTTCACCTTCCTATTCATTAGGTTTTTCACTACCCGCGTTATTTCAGTAAACCCCAAGGAGGACATCCCCGCGTTATTTCACTTTTCGCTTCCCTTCCCCTTTCATAGTGTAAACATTTTCATTTTCAACATCAGTTCTTCCCCTTTCCCTTTCAGTTTTCGCTTAATCACCTTTTCGCTTCCCTTCCTTGTTCATTCCAACATCAGTTGTTCAACGGCTTATTTGGTCTCGTCATCTCAAGGCCGGTAAGTTTTTTTAAAATATTTTGTCATCTCTTGATATTTTCATTTCCTCATCTTCATTTTGATTTTGTTTTGGGGATTTAGGGTTTTGCTTATTTGGTCTCAGCCAATATTTGACAATGCTAGTTTTTTTCGAAGGGGCTGTGTTTCTGAATTTTTATATCTCTGCCTCTACCTTCTAATCTTTGTTGTTCTGTTTTTCCCCCCTATCAAACGAGTAAATCCAAGCAATGAGTTTCAGTTTACGAAAAAATTTTAGTTACTGTTTTTTTGAAGTCCAATGTGGTCACTAGCTAACATAGCTAGATTTTTTTTAAGAAAAAAGAAAAACTTGGAATAATAAACGCACCAAGATTTAATGGTTTATTGTTTTTTTTTTGTGAATGAGCGATTTTTACTGGTTGATAATATCAATTTTTTTATTATCAATTTTTTTTTGAACAGGAGTAAGGACCATAGGAGCGAGTTGTGCGTGAGAAGCGAGAATTGTAGCAGAGGGGAGGATTGGAGAATAGAATTGTAGTAGAAGCGAGTACATAATATATATTATTTATATTATTTATATTGATACTTAGTATATAAAATTAGTGATCATGGTGTTTAACTTGTTTATAAAATTAGTACATAATAGAATTGGGCATCTCTGATCATCAAAACTGACTGCTTCTGCAAGAGTTTAACTTCATTCCATAAATTTATCAAGTGCTTGAATCTGTGCTATTTGATTTGCTTAAATTGATTTATGGTATTTGAATTTGTTGAGGTTGGTTATACTAATAGCTTTCCACTTAATATATAGGTGCACTTGTAAGCAATCTCCTCATTGGAAAGTGCAATTGGTCCCTGAAAATGTAAGTGTGGCATGATGGAGTGGATGCATCATGGTGTGGATGCATATTGATATTGATGTTTATCTACAACCCTTAATTAAAGAGTTGAAGGAGTTATGGCATGATGGTGTGGATGCATATGATTCTGTTAAGCGGGAAATGTTCAAGTTGCATGCAGCCTTGTTGTGGACTATTAGTGACTTTCCTGGTCTTGGAACATTGTCTGGATGGAACACCTACACTGGACTTGCTTGTCCAACATGCAACTTTGATAGTATTCCTTGTCGCCTCCCCTATAGTAGGAAATGGTGTTTTATGGGTCATCGACGCTTTCTTGATCAAAGACATAGGTTTAGACTGAACAGGATTCGTTTTAATGGACAACAGGAGCTTCGTCATCCACCCAAGATAATTTCTGGTTTTGATGTTCTTGATCAAGTTCAGAATGTTGATGTCACTTTTGGTCGTAGTCAAGATGTTAGAGGAAAGGGGAAGAGGGTACGTGGCAATGCAGGTGTTAAACAATGGAAAAAGAAAAGCATATTTTTTGATCTTCCTTACTGGGAGTCCAACTTACTGCATCACAATCTTGATGTGATGCATATTGAGAAGAATGTGTTTGATAATATTTTATACGCCTTGTTAGGTGATAGTGCAAAGTCTAAAGATCACCTAAATGCTCGAAAAGACTTGAAAGAATGGAAGTGTAAGTCAGACCTTTGGCTAGGTGAGAACGAGAAATATCCTTTAGCAATCTACACAATGAATAATAAAGGCAAGAAGGCATTCCTTAGTACTTTAAAAAACATTTCAGTGCCAGATGGTTATTCAAGCAACATTTCTAGGTGTATTGATGTAGACACTCTTCGAGTGAATGGAATGTTAAAAAGTCATGATTGCCATGTATTGATGCAACAACTTCTACCATTGGCTATGAGGGTAGCATTGCCTGAACAGGTGTCCAAGATTTTAATTGAATTATGCTCTTTCTTTAAACAAATATGTAGTAAGGTGTTGAACGTCACAAGTTTAGAAAGATTGCAACATGGAATTGTTCTGACTTTATGCCACATGGAAATGTTATTTCCCCCTTCGTTCTTCACAGTCATGGTTCATTTGATTGTTCACCTTGTTGATGAAGTTAAGCTAGGAGGTCTAGTCCATTATCGGTGGATGTATCCTATCGAGAGGTACTTGGGACAATTGAAGTCGTATGTACGAAACAAGTCACGACCTGAAGGATCCATTGCAGAAGGTTACTTAATGCAAGAAATTCTTACATTTTGTTCTCGATATCTTGATGATATTGAGACTAGATTTAATCGACCGGGTCGTGTTGATGATGCATGTAATGAAGAACAACCTAACCCACGTGTTAAGGAATTTTTCCTCCAAGTTGGAAATCCACTTGGTGGTTCTTCATATTTCAATCTTACACTGACAGAAAGATTACAAGCTCATAGACATGTCCTAATCAATTGCCCGGCAGTTGATCGTTATCTCAAGTGAGTAACACTTATACATTTACCAATAAAAATTTCATCTTCACGTTGTATGCCTAATATGTTAATCATATGTAGGGATTTTAGAGTGGAGGTGCGGAGACGCATTAGACATCGAACAAGGAGTCAAGCTGAAGTTGACAAAATAGTTCACAGAGAGTTTGTTACATGGTTCTCCAAACGGGTGAGACATTGTCTCATGTTTTGCATGAGTAGTTACCATCAATGTTATATGTCTATGGAATGACTAATAATACTATTGAGATCTTATTTGTAGATTGTTAGAGAAGTGGAAAACTTGAATGAAAGTGATAAAGCTTTCATGCTTTCTCTTGGTCAGGGTCCCATTGTCCAAGCTAGAAGATTCAATGCATATAATGTTAACGGGTTCAAATTTCGAACCTTGGCACGTGATGATGGCTTGAAAACTCAGAATAGTGGGGTATATGGTTCGTTTGGCACTAGAAGTTATTCTAGTAATAATGATCCTCAAATGAGGTTTGGGGATGTCTTATATTATGGAAAACTGGTAGACATTATAGAGATAAACTATTGTGGCTTATTCACGGTTCCTTTGTTCAAATGTCAGTGGGCTAATACCACTAATCCTAGAGGCATTAAAAAAGATAAGTTGGGATTTACTTCAATTAATTTCAATAGACTAATACATACTGGTGAACATGAAGATGATGAGCCATATATCAAAGCCTCAGAGGCACAAATGGTTTATTATGTGGATGATGAAATAGAAAAGGGTTGGAGTATACCTGTTCATTTGAAGCCAAGAGACTTATATGACATGGGTGAAGATGAAGAACTTATGCCTTCCATAGAGTCATTTCCATCACAGAACTTGGAAGATATTTTTTTTGATGATGCTATGCATATGCAATTGGCAAGACCAGATGCTGATGATGAGCCTCCTAGTTTTACAAATAATGAAGATGACAATGATGAAGTTCTTACATGATGGATACTCAAGTTTGCTTTAATGTTTTGTTTTAGTCTTTTTGGTCAACATAAGAAATGTAATAGCTCATGTAATACATACTTCTTATGTTGTTTGAGATGTGCCAAACTTGTATTGTTACTTTTATTTTTTAGTTCATGGAATACACCCTATTTTTTGCACATTGTTTACTATTTTTAATACACATGATGATTTTGCACCCTCTAATCTTTTTCATAAGGTTGTTTTTTGCAGGACCTATAATTTTTTTTTTTTACATACGAGGATCTTTGCTAACTATTTTTAAATTGGATTTGTAGGAATGGCTCGAAAACCACGATACTCTATGAGGGTTCAATCGACACCATCTGATATCCCTGCATCTTCTCCAGTGCCTAATGCAGCTGGTTTAACAGCCCAAAGTGCTCCTTTACTGAATGAAAGCCCATCTAATTTTATGGGTAATCAATCACCTTTAACTGATGAAGAAATTGATATGGTGGAACCAACAAATGAACCACATGAAATACCTAATGCAAGTTCCCAATCTGCTGTTAAGAAAAAATCCCCCAAATATTGGACCGTTGATGTCATAGGTAATTAAACTCTAATCCACTTATTTATTAATCAGTCCATATTTTTTTATTCTTACATTGATGTTGACATAACTGCTTAGATGATAACGGAGTAAAAAGGGAGCGTCACTTGCGTATTCAGGATTTGCTTGTGCTTCCTGACAATCATAAGGTCATATTAGAATGGAATGACAATGGCCAACCAATTCAAGAATCTGGTGGCTTGTATGGTGTATATTCAGGTTCAATTGCTGCTGATTGTCATAACTTCCCAATCATCTATCTGAAATGGCCACATGTTCCAAGCTTTCACAAAGAGCTTGTCTGGGAAAACCTTCTCAAAGTATGGTATTTTCCTCAAGTTTGTGGTTTTATTTATAAATATATGCTATCTTGTTGGTGTGTCGCTGATTCCTCATATTTTCATTTTTAAGGCTAAGTTTGATGTCAACGATGGAGATCATAAAAAGTGGATAATGATGGACCTCGGAAAGAAATGGAAGGACAACAGATCAAGGCTGTGGCACATGTTTAAGAATTCTGATATGTCCTTCGAGGAAAGTATTGAGAGATGCCCAATGGGAATTCCAAGAGAACAGTGGGCTTCTTTTTTGAAGTACAGATTCGAGAAAAGAACAATGGTAATAACATTTTTCATTTTTATACATGTCATCATTATGGTAATCATTCTGGGGTTGTTTTTTTATACATTTTCATAGTATTTTTCATTTTTATACATGTCATCTTTTTTGGTGGAATCAATCAACACAGGTATAGAATAATTGCATCTAGCTAGAACATGATAGGAAAGAAAATTAGGACAAGAGAAAGATAAATGAAGAGGAACGCCGGTTGTGTTGAACTTGTTACCATTCTAGGGTACTTAATTATTTTATGTTTAATGTAGGAAATTGCTGAAAAGAATACTGCCAACAGGGAAAAGCTAACAATTCCACACACTTTAGGCTCAAAGTCTATTGCAAGAAGAAAAAGAGAGCTGGTACAGATTTTTATTTTGTATGATTATGTGATTCTGTGGTTCTTGTTAAGTAAAAATACCTTTTTTGGTTATATAACTCATTAAGTACAGTGATTTGCATCCATTATTTTTCTACTTGGTTTCGATTACAGAACTTTATGTGTATGGTTTGTTTAAATGATGGATGACCCTCAAGTTTGGTTAAGGAACATGGTAATCTGCATTTGATGAATTGTAGTAGTTTCTATGGTATACCTTTAATAGATAACTTGTTATTTTTTGATAGAGATGCAATTGGTAATTCTGGTTCCCAATTTTTGGGCCTATTCTTGATGTTCTGCAAAAATTAATTTTATGCATTGCTTGTGCCTTGTTTTGGAGTTATGATTGAGCATCTTGTGGTGTATCTTGTGTGATAGGCATTGTGTAAATTGTTTTTTGTTCTTAATTTTTGGTTGCTGTCCAACTCTGTATTGCTATTAGTACTTGGTTGAATCATACAGAGTCTTGGTAAATAATTTTTGTTGGTTATTTTATTGTTTTAGGAAATTGAAAAAGGTAAGCCTATCAGTAGAGCGGAAATGTATGGCTATTCACATCTGAAAAAAGATGGTACATTTGTGAATGAAGAGGCTATGGAGAAAAATGTAAGTGGAATATAGTTGTTTACTTGTATTCCTATATGACAATGTTACTGTTTTTAAATTGGTTGTTGGATCAAATTTTGTAAGATTTGTTATTATCTGCACAAAATGATGGAACTTTATCCGAAGAAGATGCTTATGTTCAGGTGTTTGGGAAGGAGCACCCTGGACGTGTACGGGGTATGGGATTTGGGGTCTGCCCTTCCCAAATTTTTAAACGTCATTGTAGTTCTGGGGCATCTTCCTCAACATCTAGAGATAATGAAATTAGAGAGTTGAAATCTAAAGTTCAATCTTTGGAGGAAGCATTGGCTTTTGTGGTACGTAGCTTTGGGGGTCAAATGCCCCCTGGTTTTGCATCAAATGGATTGCAACAGGTATATAATACATTTACCAAAATTTTCTTATGTTTTCTGTTTGAGATGATGATTGGAACTTGTTTTAGTCATGTATTTTAAATTGTATAATATGACTGCAAGGGCAGAATAATTTGTCAAATTTAACGGATTTAAGGAACTTGATTATTAGTCTCTCAATATATTGTTATATTGTTATATTGAAACTATAAAGTTGGAATTCCATCACATGTCTACAATTGCTCATATTCAAACTGTACGAACGTAGATCTCTAGTTAAGTATATAAGATTGTTATGTGTCATTACGTGCTTGAAAGTAATGTGTGGCATTTTGTATTTGATCTAAGTGAAAGGTTTTAAAGTGGAGACTTTATTTTTTAGAAGGCTTTTTAAATTGAAGTTATTGTTCAAAATATTTATGATTAATTGAAGTTTTGTTTTTTATGCTGATTGAGGATACAAAAATAATATATACGTATATGTTGAGCACGAAGTTTTGTTTGCAGGCTTAAAGTGAAGGCGATGTTCACTTCAATGTTATTAGAGGATCCATTTAAAATGTTATCATTTAGATTTGAGGCATGACCAATGGCCTAATCTATGGGTGTATGTTTTTGTGTATGTAGAAGACTTAAATAGTGGACGGGTCAAAAAGGGTAGAATGTGACTTTATCTATGCGCCCTTTTGATACACAAAAGGGTATAACATATTTGATATGTTATAGTTTTGTGTCTGCTTATAGTTTCACTGTGATATGTCTGCTGCATATTTTCTGATATAACATATTTGATAATTACAAATTTTCCATGTGGTACAAGGTTGAACAGTTTTTCTTTGGATAATAGTTTTGGTTGGTATAATAATGTATAAATCTTAGTAGTTATGGTTCTTCGAGACACTTATTAATTGGACAAAAACAATTTTTTAAGTAAAGGCTTTTAAATTATTTTTCAGTACCCAATATGATTGAGACTTATATTTGAGCTATTTTTTTTTTTGCAACCTCAAAATTTGGGCTCTCCCAATGGATTCAGGCCATCCTCTTCTGCTAGTCATGTACCAAATGCCCAAGGACCTGAACTTCAAGGACACCCATCTCCTCCATAGTTCTCCTTTATATATATATATATTTTTTGTTTTCCAGAACAATATCAGGGTGATTACATTTTGATGGATAGCTTTTGGTGATTACTTTTTGATGTATAGCTGTTGGTGATTACTTTTGGATGGATAACTTTTGTATTTTGGTGTATATCACAATGTAAGGGTGATTTTTTGGTGTTAGGACAATGCTACTTTAACCAACAATTACATTTTCCATTTGATGTTTTAAATTATTAGAATTTAGTGCAAATGGTGATTACTGTTCTAACTTTAATTATGGATGAAAAGCCTTGAATTTTTAATTTATTTATATAATTATTATATTGGATTATAAAAGATTGACTTTTAATCAAATTTGCCATTTTTAGTAATTAAACATATATTGCCATTCCTAAAATATATATATATATATATATATATATATATATATATATATATATATCAAATTGTATCTAAAAAATAAATGTTAATTTTAAAATTTTAATTTATCAGCTTAAATGATATTTAATGTTTAAATTCTTGAAAATAAATTATTCATATATTTATTTGACAACGTTTTGTATCAGTAAATATTTCATTATTTACCAAAAAAATAATGTATTATTTTATTATAGAATTGATAAAATATAAAATATATTAAATTTTATTTATTATTCCACGACGGTTAAAAACCGCCTTCGTATATCTACCACTACAAATATTAGGCATTTGAATTGTTATTCCACGACTGTTAGCAACCGCCTTTGAATTGTTATTCCACGACGGTTTCCTCGCAGCCTTGGAATTCTAATTCCGCGACGGTTTACCAAACAGACTTGGAGTTCTTATTCCAAGACAGAATTCAACCGCCTTGTTATTGTTATTCAACGACGGTTAGGCACAGCCTTAGAATGCTTATTCCGCGACGGTTACAAACCGCCTTGGTATTCTTATTCCACGACGGTTATAAACTGCCTTGGGATTCTGATGACTGCCTTATGAACCGTCGTGTTTTTCCCAGTCGACGGTTATTCCAGCGGTTCAGCTAAACCGTCGTTGAATTGCCTCTCGACGGTAGTAACAACGACGGTTGGTTAACAGCCGAAACACGCATTTGGAGGCGGTTTTAACCGTCGTGAAATGACCTGTGAACCGCCTCTGTATACCTCTTTTGTTGTAGTGATACCATTTTCGTGTGCAGAGAGAGACAGAATCTTGGAGTGACCTTTTGAGGTCCAAGCTCTTGTTGGCTGGTTGAGTTTTGGTAAGCCTTGTCACCTTTGGTCTTGAGTTTTTGAACTTAAAAATGAAAGCTTGATGCATGTTAAGGCTTAAAGATGATAACTTGTTGTTGGGTAATGTTGAACACACCTAGAAATGCATGTTTAAGTGTTTAAAATCGGTAAAAACCCAACCTTGGAGGGATATCTTCACGAAATGCATTTTCTGCATTCTGTCGTGAAATATCCGGATATGTGCCCGATGAATATCCGGATATGGGTTTTGAGTATCCGGATAATAGATATCCGGATATGGGATTCTGGATAACCGGATATTGCATATCTGGATATGTCCAGTGAGATATCCGGATATTGCATATCCGGATATGGTCTCGTGGAATATCCGGATATTCTGGGATTTCGTAGAACAGTAGCTGTGCTGTGAGGACAGTAGGCTATTGGGGGTTTGAGGACCCTAGATTGATGAAGTTGAACTTCTGTAATTAATGAACTAAGTCAGAATCGTTGTGATTAAGGACTTATGGCTTGGTATGGAGCCTTAAGACGTTAAACGTACGGAAAGGCGTTGTCTTTAAGTTTTATGCATGTGGTACATGTTTATTAATATAATGTTGGTCCATAACAGATTGTGAATCTGCTGTGTTTGGACGTTGAGCTGTGGACTCTTGGCTTTTGGAGTTAGCTTGCAAGGTAAGCTTCCGTGTCCTCGGTTTAGCCATGTTGTGGTTCCACCATGTCCCATGGGGGTATGGTTTATGCATGCTGTGTACATGCTTTCGGATATTTGATTTGTTGATTGAACTTTACATGTAATGGCTTTTAATATGCATGTGTTGTTTCATCTTGACGGGAAGCCTGAGTATGTAGCGCCATACAAGACGGTGTACCGGGGTCAATGCAAGTGGTACTTGCACGGTGTGTAGGTGATACACGTATACCTGCACTGTCTCTGGCCAGTAGATTAGTATTGACACACATGACATGATTATCTGCTGCATTGCATTGTTTTAGAAATGATAAATGATAAACTGTTTTTGAACTTATATTGCACATGTAAGTGAGCTTGGGGTGGAAGATCCTTGAGGACTCACTGACTTACTGAGATTTCTAGATTAGAGATCTTACCCCACGTTTGGGGAATGCTTATTTCAGGTTCATGTAGTATGGGTACTGATGCCTCAGGCGGCAGGAGGCCGGAGCTTAGCTGATTATGTTTTACTTCTTATGCTAGCATGACTGGATTTGGATGCTGTTTATGTTTTTCGCTATTTATGATATGTTGTTGTTGAGACTGATGTTGGGCATGTTGCCTTATTTGAGTGAGCATGGGGATTGTCCATGACACTTTTTGTTAGTACTTGTAGTTTGGAGTTGTATAAACTGTTAGATGGTCCGGTCTACGTTATTGTAGTTCCGTGACTAGAGCCACACTTATATTATCTATGTTATGAGGTATTTCAGTTAGCTGTTTTATTGCAATTACATACAGGCGATATTTTATTAATTGATTATTAAGCAAGTTGGTAATGTTAATGGCATCATAATTGAAAAGAAAAAAGTAATTCCGCATTTTAATTAAGCGCAGCTTAATACGATATTATGATAACATTACCATATATATACGGGGTGTTACAGTTACCATTGGTGGTTCACCTGTGGATGTCTTGTTTGACTCTAGGGCTACGCATTCTTTTGTTGCAACCCCGATTGCTGTGGGGCTTGAGTTGCCTATTGAGGTGCTTTCTCCACCGTCGCGGGTTACCACCGCCACCGGAGAAAAGTGTGATGCGACCACTGTTCATCGCGATGTAGCGTTTCAGTGGGATGGCCGTGAGTTCTCGGTAGAACTGATAGGATTGCCGATGGCCAACTTGGAGGTTATTCTGGGCATGGATTGGCTGTCCAGAAATTGTGCATTGATTGACTGTTGTGCCAAGCGTGTGGTGATGTCTCCGTGTGATTCCACAGCTAGTTCCTCGCCGTACATTTTGTTGCTGCAGGCTAGGAGAGCCTTGAGAGCAGGGGCATATGGATATGTCATGTTGGGAGGTTTGCTGAGTGGGACACAAGAGGATATCACTGGCATTCCTGTGGTGAGGGAATTCCTCGAGGTGTGTCCTGAGTTTCTGCCAAAGAGGGAGATAGAGTTCTCCATTGACCTGTTGCCTGGTGTGGGGCCTATTTCATTAGCTCCATACCGGATGTCGCCACTGGAGCTGGAAGAGCTGGAGAAGCATATTGAGGATCTTTCAGCGAAAGATTTCATTAGACCGAGTGTTTCTCCTTGGGGAGCACCGGTCATCTTTGTAAAGAAGAAGGACGGGACAATGCGATTGTGCACCGACTACTGGCAGCTGAACAAGGTGACAATCAAGAACAAGTATCCCCTTCCTCGGATTGATGATCTGTTGGATCAGCTCAGGGGTGCTTGCGTGTATTCCAAGATTGATCTCCAGTCCGGATACCATCAGATTCGGGTGAAGCCGAAGGATGTCCCTAAGACCGCATTTCGTTCGAGATACGGTCATTTTGAGTATTTGGTGATTTCGTTTGGACTCACCAATGCACCTACTGTGTTCATGGATTACATGAACCGAATTTTCCAGCCGTACCTGGATCAGTTTGTGATCGTCTTCATTGACGACATTTTGATTTTCTCCAAGACGGAGGAGGAGCATGTGGAGAATTTGAGAATTGTTCTGCAAGTGCTGAAGGAGAAGAAGCTGTATGCGAAGCCTTCCAAATATGAGTTTTGCCTCAAGTCTGTGAAGTTCCTTGGGCATGTTATTTCTGCTGAAGGAGTTGTAGTGGATCCGAAAAATATCGAGGCCGTACTGGATTGGGAGAGACCCAAGACAGTTACGGAAGTGAGGAGCTTTCTGGGTTTGGCAGGTTACTATCGGAGGTTCATCAAGGGTTTCTCCACGATGGTTCTCCCTTTG